GACGTGACATGTTCGTACGAACCCTTTGTACGAACAAAAGTAAGAGAAATTTAGGATAAGAATACGAACATGTTCTTGCATGAGGCCCAATTTCTTTAAACTGCAGGTYTTCAAGGAGCTATSTGCAACAGGTAAGATATTAGTTACTTATAACATTTCCACAGCTATCAGAAGATGCAACTTATTTTATGATTATGTTAAAAAAAGATTTCAGTTTAAATTTCATTTATAAGACAAAAAACAAATCAAGAAACAACACACAGACACCCAACACCAGTTTGTAGAAACTGGATGAATCAGTGCAGTGTTGTTACATGCAGCGGTGTACGGTTTTCGAAGCCCTGATTCGGCACTCTTCCACAATAAACTCATCTGACTGAAAGAGCAGAGCGGCTGAGGGCGAGCCCAGGTGCTGCAGAGCCGCTCACAACCCGTCGCACAAATCCAAACCCCATTCAGGATTATCCTCTCGGAGCTTTAGAGTCCCCGCAAACATGCTGGGAAAAGCCGAAATCATCTGACTGCCAACATCCCTCAAAGGGTGAGGAGGTCAGATTCACCGGCGGAGGCATGCGGCGCACTGACTGCTGTCGCAATTAAAAAAAAAACGGCCGACCTCAGAGGCAGAGCAGCAGATTCGCAAACTGGTTCCGGCTCACAGGTTCTGAATAAACATCAGGGGAGCAACAGGATAGAAAAATCACCCTCGTAGATCACCTGATGATAAAACTTTAAACATAACACCTCGCTTAGATYACAGCCTCAGCTACTTCAACAAATCTTAGCTCAAAATCTGTCAAATTTACTGAAATGACCATTTTTTTTGTTTTATAGTTTTGCTGTGGCATCCATCTTGAATGGTCAAAAGCAGCATTAAAAAGTGTTCAACATTTTGCACAAAAAAAATAAAAAACCACCGTCGCCCTGCCCTTGCCTTCAGTGGCAGGTCATGACAACCCTAAAGGACTTCTGCTTTAAAGGGAAACTTTTCTTGCAGAATGCAGCACGACTTTGTAACAATACACTTAATTATAACCTCGCCCTAAAGCCAAACATCTGACCCAGCATTCAACCTGCACAAATCTCATTCCCCTTCCAGTATTTCTGCTCCCAGTGATACACAACAACACAACACAACACAACACAGAAACCAAAAGTCAGACACGGAGGGCAGAAAGAGGAAATAAGAAATTCAAATCCAGTTTCTTGTCGTCACACTCCTCCTTCCTGTGCTGTGGAAACCGGATGACTGCGTTCTGATAAATTACATTGATTTTTTTATATAACGCTGCGTCCTGTGACTTAAACTATTATTACCCTCAGGGTGGGGGGTGGGAGTGGGGGTTGTGCAGACATGAATAAATTTGTTGGTACCCTTCCACAATAATCAAAATGGTCTCAGATGAGACTGGAGCCAAAAAAAAAGCTCCAGTTTTGTCTCATCAGTCCCAGAAACTCTGGGTCTTGTCAACATGGATTTCAGTTTTTTGTGTGTTTTTCTATCAACACTGGAGCCTCCTGGCTCTTCTTCCAGGAAGTCCATTATGATAAAAATGTGACCATCGAAACAGTGATGTAGCTTCACCTTGGTGTTCAACTAAAACTTTTTTTTTCTTTGCTCTTTTTCTACCATCCACACTATCCGTCTGATCCACCTGGGGTTGCATTTCCTCTTGCATCCGCATTTCCTCTTGCATCCACATTACGGGAGGTTGGCTACAGCCCCATGAACCTTATTCTTGTTAAYCGTGGCAGCTGTGGTCAAAGGAACATGAAGCTGCTTGGAAAGGATTTTGTAGTTTTTATTTTGAACATATAATCTGTTTTCGGAGCTCCAGTTTGAGTTTGGTGCTCACAGCCATACCATCCTACACAGTGGTTGTTTGTTCAATTTAAAGTAAACATATCAAGCTTTAAAAACCTTCTTTTTCTCATTTAAACCCTTCAGTTGGAGCTTATATAAAGAGGAACTGCTCTTTATTATAACTCTCAGATCAACTCATTTTGAGGCTGTCTCTTTAATCCAAAAAAGGTGCTTTAGACTCCGCCCCCTCCAGCTTCCAGACCGATCCATTCTAGTTTGATAGAGGGGTTTACGACTATATAGCTGCTCAGAAACTTGTTTTTTTCTTACAGATTAATTAAAATACATCAGCAAGGATGGGAGACTTGTCCATYCAGCCAGCCAGAGTCYGACCCAGAACCAGAGGAGAATGAAGATCACCAAATTATATGGTGGAAGCGCCGTCGCAAATTCTGTGACGTAATAGTTCGGAAAACGTCATAGAATAGAGAAAACCGAACGGGTTGAAAAATCTGACCCAAAACAGAATATAAAGATATCTTCGCAGCACCAGAAAAAAAACTAAATTTAAAATTTCTGCCTCTTGGAGACTCCCAGGTACAACAAAAAGCATTTAATGGCTATAAAAATGAGGATTTTACATAAATCTCATTGAAATAAAGGTTTGATGCTGATTCAGGTCAAACAGTGTGACTTAAAAGTAAAAAAATAAAATAAAAAATCTTTAAATCCACAAACAATTCTACCAGAAAACCGTCGCATCTTAAACCGCAGCCTACAACCAGGGATCAGCTCAGTTTAGAAGAATTTAAGCTCCTATTTTCTTAATGTGATAACTGCTTTATAAATATTGAGATCCACTGTTACATCACATATTAAAGACACACAGATTTACATTAGGATGGTTGCTTTGGACGAGCTGTGAGGGCACCAACAAGTTGATCCTGGTCTCTGCAGACCCCCCAATCTATCATTTCTACTAGTTTCAACATGCTGGACCTGATGAAGAGAGGAGGAAAAGAAACGGTGAGCATCAGGTGCTCTCGCCACCTCACCTGTCTGAGTCGGAGTGTGTGTGTGTGTGTGTGTGTGTGTGTGTGTGTGTGTGTGTGTGTGGATCTGATTTGCTTCCAGGAACACCTCGCAGGAGTTTGGAGATGCAAGTCAGCACAAGAAGAAAAAAGTGTGTGTTTATATGAGCGCAGACGCATGTTCTTCTCCACGCTTAAATAACTTTTTTTYCCTTTCCCTCTCTCCTCCAAACAGGAGATCCTGGGAGGAGCAAAGGAGCCGAAGTCATATAAACCTAAAGGCCAAAATGAGACAAGATGTGACAAGTTCCTGAACTCTTGCCTTTCAGAACTTCACCTCTTTCAATCTCTTTTTCTCGCTTCCGTTCTCCTTTTAGCAGACGACCAAAAAAAATAAATAAATAAAAAAAAATCTCCCTCTAGTTAACCAGCTTTTACAACTGTGGTGAATCCCTCACAACTGCAATCAGTCATGATAAAGTCTTTAATTAATGCAACAGGAAAGGAAAGGTCTTAGCCAGGGAAGCTGAAAACAAGCCAGGACTCGGGGTTAAATAACGCTTTGATAGAGTTACACTTCATCATCCTGCTTTCATCGCTCTGAGACGGAACACCGGGAACATTCGAGTTAAAAACTTCAATTATCCAGCTGACAAAAATAAACAGATTATCTGTGATTATTTATACTTTGTCTAACAATTAAAAACAGAAAATTTATTTCATTTGTTTGATTGTCGGGAGTTTTAGCAAAATATGTGACGAACAAATAAATTAGGGACGCCCTGATACTTGTTTTTCTCAAACTGAGTACGAGTACTGGGTCCTTGCTGATAAAGAGTACTGTGTTCTACCACTCTGACAGGATCAGATCAAATATACTTCATGATATAGACTGTTGCTAAATTCTAAAATAAATAAAAATAAGATTTTTTTTACTTGTATAAATTAAATGCACACTTGTATGTCACTTGAAATGTAAACTGTGATTCAATACAGTATTGATACAGGTACTGGTATCGGTCCAAAGATCGGACCAATTTGTACGATTAAAAAAACTTGTAAAAATGACGGCATCTGTACAGATACACTCAAAAAAATTAAACATTTGCATTGGATTTACTTAAATTCTCAACAGATTCTTCTAAACTGAATTAAGTAAATATAACACAATTACTTCACATTCACATATAAAGTAAATGAAAAAAAATTGCTTAAGATTTACTAAGTTCAGTTGAGTAGAACCTGTTGACATAAGTTTTTAAGTAAATCCAACGCAAACGCTTAGATTTTTTGAGTGAACAGTATCAGTATTGGGACACCACTACACTAAATATTAGGGGTGTATGAAAATATCGATACACTGAAATATCGCGATATTTCA